GGGGGAAGGGGAAGGGGAAGGGGAAGGGGAAGGGGAAGAGGAAGGGGAAGCGGAAGGGGAAGGGAGGCTTACGGAGGGTGTGAGTGACCACTCACATGCAGAATCTGTAAGTGGGGGGAACCTGTGAAGCAGCTTCTACTCTAATAAATTCTCACCATGTAGAGTGCGGTGTGACCATCCCCAGCTGAGGGGAACAAAGGTAGAAGTCCAGTTGCTGCTAAGCATTAAGTGCAGTAGAGACAATCAGCAGAGAGGACAAGAGGTCACTTTGGGCTGCAATTTGAGTGACCAGGAGGCAGCTGTTACAGGCTGAATTGTGTCCCCCATAAGTTCATGTGTTGAAGTCCTAACTGCTAGTACCTTAGGATGTAACCATATTTGGAGACAGAGTATGTAAAGAGGTAATTAAATTAAAATAAGAAAAAAGGTGAAGGGATTAATAAGTACAAATTGGGAATTATAAAACTAGTCACAGGAATGTAAAGTACAGCATAGGAAATATAGCCAATAATATTGTAGTAACTATGTATGGTGTCAGATAGGTAATAGACTTATCTGGGTGATCGCTTCATAAGTTATGTAAATGTCTAATTGCTATGTTGGACACCTGAAATTAATATTAATATAATAATTGTAAGTCAACTGTGATTTAACATTTTTAAAAATTATAATAAATAAATAAATTTTAAAAATGAGGTCATCAGGGTAGGCCCTAATCCAATATGGCTGGTCTCCTAACCTGAGATCTTACCACTCCCCATGCTCTGCCTAGGAAAAACGGATGGGTTTCTTCCATTCGGATGTGTTTGTGATTGCAGGGTCGGGAGGGTTCCCTTGAGGCCCCCAGCACTGGCTCCTCCCTGCCACTCCCTCTGCTAGAGGGAATCTTTTCTAATCTCTGGACCAGCAAGCATTCTCTTACATAATTGGGCTTTCTCACAGATCGGTTTTATTGCTTCTGCACAAGCATCCTTTCAGTTTTCCTTTGAGGGTTGGGCTTTTGAACAAATCAGAGAAAATGCCTTGTTTTTTCTCTTTAGGCACCATCATTTGTTCCAAGGCAGTAAGCACCCAGTTGAAAGCATGGGGTGACACTAAGCAGTAATGGAAATAGGTTAGACCTTCTTGGAAATTTATTTGATTCAGCCTTGGCTGCAGTTGTGACCAAAGCCAGAGGATCACAAGCTTCAGTGATCAGTTTAATGAAGAGCTTTGAAGAATGTTGGCACAGGGCTTGGTGAATACAGGGCACTGAGTGAGCTAGACCATCTTGATATCTAATAGCTGGGAAACAGAAGATGTTTACTGTAAACATACTAAGAATATAAGAAGCACTGTTAGGGTGAAGGTTAATCCCCCACCCCATGTTTATATTTATTCTGTATCTTGTTATCATTAAATCATTCTCTGACTAGTTTGTGATAATTTCCTTGGAGAAATACTGAGTTTAAGCTTTATTGTTATTTTCTGCGGACTATATCCTTAATCTCAGAGACATGCTTGCTTGGAATGGAAATTGCATTTACTCAGTATAAGTTTGTGAAAGGAAATTGAATTTGATAGAAGCTTTCTTGCTGGAAATCATGTTCACTCACCTCAACTTGTGATGTGAACACCAGCTCCGTGGCCTCTCTAACATCATTCTGTTACTTTGCTCTTATGTGAGGATCTTGACTTCATTTAGTTAAAAAGAATCAAGACCTTTACTTAGCTTTCTCCCTATAAGCCTGTTTCAAAAACTCCAAGACGATAACAAAAGTAGTTTTAAAGAACAGTATGAATTCAAGTTTTTCTCCACTAGTGAAAACAGAAGTACTAAAGAAAAAATAGTGATTAATACTTTGCCTTATTATCTTTCTATGAAAGTTTAAGTGTCTTTCTAACACACCTTAATGGCAAATACACAACTTCAGAGTGATACCATTGAAAGGGATGTATAGAGACCAGAGATAAGTCAAGGAATTAGAACAGTGGCATATTCAGTTTCCTAGGTCAAGTGCCCAGTTCTGTCTTGATACTCAAAGTGCTATGGCCATAGGAGAAATTAACTTGGTAAAATTAACTCACCTGAATGCATTAGTTATGTCCTATACTACCTTGGTTTCGCCTGTTATTATGTATGTGTCATGAGGGCAGAAACTTGGTCTATTTTTTGTAGTTCCCAGGATATCTTACTAGGAAAATGGTAGGCAGTCAATAAATATTTGTTGAAATTTAAAAAAAAAAAGAAGAAATGAATGGATTCACCCAGGATTTGAGGCATACTTGTATTGTTGAAAGTGCTGTTAGAAATATTTCAAGTTTTAGTACAAAGGTGTTAGAGTAGTTGGCATGCCAACATTAGCCATGGCTGTCCTTAGCTAGAGCACTTCCCTGGCTCTCAAACTACACACCTTACTGGTCTGATACAAGAATTTCATGCAAAGCTTGCTCCATGTGTGCCCATTTTGAGTAAGCATGTGGGCTCAATCCCTTTGTCTGGTAGGGCACATTTGCCTATTTGAAAATGGATATTTTCCTATGAGTAGCTGGTATAGTTTGGGTGTGATTATGTGTGATTATAATTCATTATAACTTGTTATTTAATTTACTTTTAAAGGATTGAAATGTTCCCGTTACAATATGTTGGCTACCGTAAATACCTTAAATGTGCAGGTTCTTTTGTATTATCCAGCTATGTACTGGTTGCCTCAAGTACAGTTTATAAGTGGATAGAGGTACAAATGCAAAGAGGTCACAAAAGAGCAAGATATTTTAGACTTTAGAAAATTTAGTTCATCAAAATTTACCTGGAATATAGGCAAGCCTTTGCAAGTTGGTATTCTGTATTGAGATAGAACCAGCATTCACTGACATTGAAATGTGAACATTGGGTAATACTTTATCATTAACATTCCCTTTCCCAGGATGTTCCAACCTCAGTTATTCAAAGTCTATCACCAGGAAGATTAGATTGTCACTTCTGGGTGACCTGTGCCCTTTATGTGACTCATATTGCTTCAGATAAGTGAAATTAGCATGTCTGGGTATTACATGTGTTTATACCATGTTACAATGAATATTTATAAATGGAGATTTTCTTTATAAATCACTTCAAAGGTTTACCTTGATCCTTGACACTGGCGATCCTATTAAGTTGACGTATGAATGGTATACAACCATAACATAACTATGATTTCTATACTGGTTGAGTCAAGTTGTGTCTATAAAAACAATTAAGACTTTGGGAGCATTCTACACTGAAATGTATAGAATTTTTTGAAAAAAGAACTCCCTATGTTCTAATAGTGTGGTGGGCATAAAGTACTTCAAATTTTGCTTGGCACATTGTAGGTCCTCAATGAATGTTAAACCATAGAGGCTCCTGTTATTTGACAGTTTCTAGCTTTTTCTTGACTAATGAAGGGGACTTGAAAGTGATATGCCACACAATCTAGAAAGCTAGAGCTAAAAAGAATGAGCCAATCTCTCCATTTTATAGATGAGGACACTGAGGCTGCATGAAGTTTAATGACTTAAGCAAAGTCATGCAGGTTAAGTGGAAGGCCTAAAACAAATCCCTGACTCTCAGCCTGCAATGACTTCTATCAGTCCAGGTCCAGGAACTTTCCAGACAGGTAGAGCCTACAGGTGTGTCCGAGCAAACCTATAGCACTGTTGTCATCTAACACCACCAGGGAAGAGCAAGATTGGGTTAAACAGCTGACAGGAAGGGGGAAACACTTCACAGGGCCAGAGAGAGCTCCACACCTGTCTGGGACTCAGTTTTAAACCCTGAATTTTTAAAAAGCACTGTCTTTTGAATCAGTTAATTTTTGGTCATCTAGGGTAGGAATAATTCATTGCTTTAGATTAATGAATTGTCACAGGGCTGTTTTGTTTGTAAATTCAAATAAACTGTATAACAAGTCATCATAAAATGTAATCATAAGGTAATGTTGCCCTGTTCCATTTTATTTTTTTCTTAAAAGCATAGGTGATAAAAACGTTCACATCCATCATTATTTTTGGAAAAAAAATAAGTTAGCTAACACTATTTCCTCACACTATAAGAGAAACTGATCTAGAAACTGATCTAGAGAAATTAAGGACCACAGTGATTATGTCCTGAAGTTGATTTTTCTTCTACCTTTGTTCCCCTGTGGCTTGTTCAGAAAAAAATGTAAATCTGCTGAAGTCTTGGATAGTCACTAGTCGCTCTATTTTGAAACCAGTGTCTCTTCAGAATATTCCTTAACATCAAGAGAAATGAAAACATAGTGTTGTTCCTGCTCGTTTACCTTGGTATTAGAGTTTGATTTAGAATTTTTCTTTTCAAGATAAGTGATAAATCCTCATCTGACTCTGTTGGGCAAAACAAATTGATACAGAGCCTAGGAGATGACCAGCAAACACTCCTCTGCCATTTCAGGGGACAACAGCACCTCCAGTGCATTTAGGTGCAAAGTTCAGAGAGCTGTAGACAAGACATGGTTGGAAGACCCTGGTAAGAAAGGCACATGAGTGTTTAAATTTTTAAATTATCCTATTTTGAAATTAGAACCATACAGATGATTGGTTTAGAATGGTTTGCTTTGGCTTTTAGATTAAATTTTTGTAAAAAGGGAAGGGAATTTGTATTTTCTTACCAAACTTCCAAGTGGCTCAGTTGGGAGCTGTATAATAATTTGATTATAAAGTCACATATTGAAAATGGATTCCCAAATAGAATTTCTTGAAAATAATGGGTAAAAACCTCCAGCAGAACACTAATGCCAGGAGATGCTATAATAATTGGTAAATACCTTGAATGATGCCCTGTAATGACTTGTAGAGCAAATCATCAAGTCCTCTGTTAATTTTTTTTGGTCTCAAACTGTTGACAGATGTTAGAGAAATATATGCTTCCTATTGGTTTCCTAAAACTTTGGTGTAAGTGTAAAAATAATGACTGTCACAAAAACTGGCAGAAGAACCCTGGGATTTTATTTTATATTTTAAGGGGATATCCTAGATTTCTTAGGCTCTATCACATTTCAATTTCTGCCACCTATATTATGCTTGGGAGGTCTCATTATTGTAAAAATGACTGTTGTGTTTTCTTTGAATTTAGGCTCTATGAATCTTTTTAATTCTTTTTTGACATTGCAACTGAAGGTCTCTATATCATCAGGAAAGGGAAACCCAATGTTTTCTTTTAAGCTGTATCTTTTTTGTAGTTATAAGCACCTCCAAATGGATTATTCTTTCTTAGTCTGCCTTTCAAACTATTTCCTGACAGTTAATGTGAAATGTTTATGAAATGTTGCTGATGCTTTTCTAAACCAGATTGCTGATAAAGCAACTTCTCCTTTTATACACAACTTTTGGACCCTTAAAAATAATTATGAACAATGTCTGAGAATGACGGCATGAAGAATCAATACCAGCAATCATTAAAATAAGCCGAGCCTAAAGTAGTCACAAAATTTTCCAAATAGTGTTTATCTGCAGGGGAAGAATAGAAGTGTCTTAATTTTCAGTCAACAGATAACTTACCAAGGACCAGTCATTCACAAGGGTCAGGGAAGAATTGAAGAACATGTCATTGCTTCTGAGCACCTCAAAGTGGGACCTACAGAGCATCTGCAACAAACCATTGAAAACGCAGATTCAAGGACCCAGTTCTATTGAATCAGAACATCTGGAGTGAAGCCTGGGAACCCACACTAAGCAATAGTCATACGCGTTAAACTGCTAGAATGACTAAGCTAGGGGCTTACATTTTCTTCGTGGAGAATCAGATCTGCGGGCAAATAATGCAAATTCTCTAAAGCCAGGCAGGTGAACTGAGCTACAATAAAGTTACAAAATCTTCTAGGACAGAATGACCCAAGAGGAGACGAAAGAGCACCATGGGAGGGGTTTCTGTAGAGACTTGTTCTGTGAAAACCCCTCCCATGGTTCTACAGTGAAAGGTGAAGCTTTATCCAGGTGTAAACAGGTTGTCACCATCAACATTAAGCAGTGTCTAGGAAGTTGGATATTATAGCCCAAGGAAGATAGTAGATGTCCAAAGTCATCCCAGCCAAGGCACCTGCACTAACTCTGGCCCAAACACTTCTATCAGCGACATTGTCAGGCCGCTGTCTCCAGGCTAATGCTTCATACAGGCAGGATCTCCCCTTTCCAAGACCAAACCCATGGAGGTAAGAGAGTGGGAGAACTGGAAAGGGAAAAACAGCTTATTGTGCATGATTCAGGGTTGGGGTAGCCTGGTGTAGGTTTCTGATCCAGCAGTAGCTGTGTGGTTATTGGTGCAATAATTCCGCAGGGCCTCGGCTTCATTCCCTGTGAATGAAATTCTCCATGATTCCTCTGCTGCATTTTAGCTCTGAGACTGATTTGATTTGCAAGCGTCAGTGTCTTATCTCATTAATTGCATGGTTGTTTGGACAAGCAAAGTCTAGAATCTCACTGGCCTTAAGCCTCTCCTGTAATCTAGTCAGGAATTGAAATGTCAGCATCAGTGTCCCCGTCTTTTGATGGCATGGTGGTTAAGAGAATAAGCTTTTGAATCAGGTAATAAATGCACAGAGTCAGCCCCACTCTGTCACTTACTAGTTCTGTGACTTGGAGCAAACTTCTCCAAGTCTGTTACTTCATCAGTTAAAGTGGAATAATAATACCCATCTCACTGTACTGTTGAAATCACTAAATAATATTTGTGAGATGCCAGTTCCAGGCCTGACATATATGAAGGGTCCCATAAGAGCAGTTACTATTCTTTTTTTAAAGCCACAGAATCAGACCATCATTCAGAAAGACTATAGACATCTAGCTCTTCCATTGTGAGCTTCTTCCTTAGAGGAGTGCCATGATAGAAGGGGAGGGCCTCCATTTATCTCAATTCCAATTAAAAAAAACACACTGTGCAATTCGTTACAGTGACATACCTCACAAACTTGACATCTGGAGTGGATCATTTTTTAACACTCCCTTCTCTGTATGATAAAATTTTTTCCAGTAATTATTACTTAACAATCAGTGATAATCATTATCTTCTCTACTTTTTCTTTAGTATTAAAACAAATAATTAACCATTTAAAAAAAGAGCCGATTGCAGCTTTAAAGATATTCAAATTCAGTAAAATATTTCATGTATGAACTAAAGGTGCACTGCCAAACCAAAATATTATACCTCGCAGTTCAGTTTCCTTGTTTTAAACTTGAAATACAAAACCTCCAAGAGGTTACACAGAAATGACAGAATTGGTAGAATTCAACATCTTTGTTTCTTTGATTTTACAATCACTGAGTGGCTATTGTTTATTTTCAACACTATTTAAGCGCAGGAAGAGGTGGTACCACCTGGGCCTGGAAGCAAAACCTGCACCAGAACCAACTGCTCCAACAATTGCAAACGTTTGCAAACTTTCTCTAGAACAAACTCCCGTGGTTGAGTCCACAGACGTCGGAGAGGAAAGGAGGCGCATTGTATAACTGGTGGTTCTTCAAGTTAACCTCCATATAGAACACAGTATTTACTTGAGGATAAGTCATTTTAAAAATGAAATACTATGAAGCTTACATATACAGTATTAAAACCCAACAGTCACTGCAGTAGTTTTCTAGAACTTAGACCAACAAGAGATTTTGGGGGATGTCACCGTAAGAAACATCCGAAACTGTGAAGAATTTTTATAAGTTCATTTGAGCCAAACTGACAATTGCCAGGAAGCAAAATCTCAGCAGATTGAGAAAATGCTCAAGAGAATGGCAGTTTTGCAGCTTATTTTATACATTACAATCAAAGAAGGAGTCATAAGGGGGTTATATGAAACCCTTTGGCGGTAGATTATGGAGGTGGGAGAAAGCAAAGTAAGGGGGTAGAATCTCTGAGACTAGATAAAAAGTAAAATGGAGAGATACATACTTCTTTTACATGTTAATTAACATTTCCAGCACACAGAGGTGGTATTTGGGCAACAACATAACAGTGAGGGTTCCCTGCTCTGTCAGGAGATTGTACCCTGAGGAGTCTGGAAAAAGGGGAGGACTCTGATACTCCAAAGGTAGGTTTTCTTGGATGCGAAAAGACAATAGGCAGGCTCAGTGAGGGTAATGAT